AAAGACAAAGACACTCCAGTCAGCCACTATTTATTAGCCAGTGTAGGGAAGTGAGGAGGGTGCTTTTCTTGGAACAGTGGGGAAGCAGTGGTAGAATGGGCAAGTTTAACATCATAAGGGGAACAAGCCAAGATCCATCCCCACACCTGGGTGCTAATCTCACTGACCTAGAGAGGAAGGTGATTTCTGCATCCCAAAACCAGCCCGACAGGCAGGTAAGGAGAGCTTAGGACATCTGTGTCATTTTACAGTTCTGATTCCCAACACAGGATCAGCAAGAATCGCGGTGATGGTCGATAGCAGTTTTTATAAGGCAGAATGACTCGGTAGTGCTGAGTGTCTCCGTCTCCTTTCTGCTACCATCCGTCTAAGGGATAAAACCCATTGCTGTCTGAAACAGCCACTCAGCAATTCTCACAGGGAGATGGAAACGGGTGCGAGAGAAAACCTTCCTCCACCCCCAGTGTTTCTCCTATACATAACTTACTTTTGACACGGCACCAATAGCACTGCTACATGTACTTCACTTGTTTTGAAACTAAATTAGAACTGCATCTCCTGTGTGTCCGTATATCTCGCTGTGATCCAGTAGTTATGTTGCTAGATCCTATAATGCATGCTACATTTACAAGTTACACTGAATTACAAGTAGAACTTTTATGAGATTTTTTTATATATGTGTATTTTTAATATTCATATGCTCTTGCTAGAAGAGCCATCTGAACAGGAATTTGCTGCCAGAAAGTGGAGTACTTGCTTGGAACACAGGAAAAGAAGGATCTTCATTTGTCTGGAAAGCAGAGTTAAGACTGTTCGTACATCAAAACACAAAGTTTATTGTGCCGTTTTCTTTAGCTGTCATTTCTAGCTATTTTCTTGAAATTGTTTCAGATCTTAAGTATTCTAAAATAACCTAAGGTAGGATGCAGTCCCGAATGTGAACTCAGGAAAGTGGGGCCCACATCTGTCATCTTCACTGTGTTCTCAGCCCCTAACCTTGTGCTGGGTAAATGGTGAATAAATGAGCTTTGTCCTTTGTCCTCCGAATAATTTCTGTAGGAGCGCGTGTCAACAAGCTAGTCATTATATCTATTGTTAATCTTGTCATGTTCAGCAGATATAAGTGCAAGCAAATTTTTCTAAAGATGCCATTTAAGCATTCACTAATTATTCTTTGGATGTAATCATGAAATCCTTAAGGTTGGAAACTATTAATATGAGGATGGGGTGGTTTGCTCTGCACTTAGGGTCTGACAAACACTTCCCTACTCTGTGTCTTTGTCTCGGCTCTTCGGCTGCCTACATGGATGGAATTCAGTAGTGCTATTTATTTTCAAGACCACTTATTCAAATTTAAGTTCATAATTATATATTTCATAACTACGGTACGTTATACTTTCTTTTGTAGATATATACTTTATTTTTCCCTGATGTACTCATTTATGTAGTACAATGTGACATTTCAGTACATGGATACAGTGTGTGATGATGAGATCAGAGTTATTGACACATCTCTCACCTCAGACATTTATCATGCCTTTGTTTTGGGGACATTCAAAGTCCTCTTCACTAGCCGTATAATTACTGTCCACCATACTTTTCTTTAGAAAGCAGATTTTCAGCATATTCTAATAATGTTAAATTTCGTTCTCTGAGTAATGACTTTATAGCATTAAATGTTTGATGCATCCCTTGGAATTCCCTCCCTTCCTTGTTTGTTGTTGTTGTTGTTGTTTTTTAATGTTGCTGGGGCCTTCACACTGAGCTGCCCTTTTTAAAAATGTTTTATTTTGAGACTGTGTCACTAAGTCTCCAAGTTGCCAAGGCCTGGGCTTGACCTGTCACTCTTCCTGCCTACAACTGTGAGCCACCATGCCTGGCACACTTTATTCTTACACGTTTATATGGCGCAGTCATCTCCAAGTCGTTTGTATCTTTATAACCATTAATTTATAATCAGTCTGCAGAGCGAACCTCAACATTTTTGTCAGGATTGTTACCATTGGGCCAAAGCACAATTGAAGCTTTAAGAGCATGCTAGTATTCATCTATGTAAGGTAAAAGAATAAGAAAAGTTCTGTACTTGAGAAGAAAATGTTTCCTAGCTTACAGTTATATTTTATCATAGTTCTGTCAGAGTGGCATTTTTAATATTTTTTCAGGAATATTTATTCTTTTGTTCATACTAGCCTCTATTCATTCTAAATATGATTTTTTTCCTCTGTAAAAGGTGACACAGAGCTTAAAACTAATGGGAAAAATGCAACATTTCCCATATTTATGAATTCAGATGCCTGAATTCCAAAGATAGGTGTAAGAAGGTACAGACATTTCTGTGACCTTAGCAATTAGTCTTTTTACATAGTTACATAAAGCCAAGAGACTATTTAAAATCAGGCTGTCATGTACCACAGGCTGTCATGTACACCATAGTGGGCTATTTTCCAGTTCCATACTAAAATTAAAAACTTCACCTGTATCTGGAAAGGCATCTTTTGCAGCTTTACCTCATTTAGTCTGGGTAGTTATTGATAGTAAAAATCAAGAAGTTAATGCTGCATCACATATAAAACAATACCTGGGGCTGGGGATTTAGCTCAGCGGCACAGTGTCTGCCTGGCAAGCACGAGGCTTCCCGGTACCCGAAAAAAAAAAAAAACCAATACCTGGGTGGATAGTGTATTGACCAAAACTTCTTTTTTCTTATTTAATCTTTTTCATGAAAAATACCATACACACACAGAAAGAAAAATGAAGAGTATAAAAAGCAGTTTTTGGTCATTTAGTAGTACTACCTATGACCAAAGTTTTAGCTTGCAAAACCTGAATTAAGTACTCTTGGACATGCAATTTTCCATGTGACCTTTAACATATTTAATATTGTAACAAAAAGATAACAATACTTCCTTTGAGAGTCCTTGGCTACTTTTAGCCATTCAGCTTTGAACAGTTTATTATTCTGTTGTCTGAAGTGTTTAAGTGATGCCAAGTCTAATCATCAAGTACATTTTTATTTTTTTTGGATGCTCCAGAAAAATTTCATATTTGATCCTGACTATAACATAGGAGTTGGTGGGGAGGAGGTACTGGAGATTGAACCCAAGGCCTTCCCACTGAACTACCCAGCCCCGTCCCTTTCTCCCCTCGCCCCTTTCTTTCTTCCTTCCTTTTCTCCTTTTCCTTCTTACCTCCCTCTCCTTCCTTCCTTCCTTCCTCCCTTCCTTCCTTCCTCCCTTCCTTCCTCCCTTCCTTCCTTCCTCCCTTCCTTCCTCTTTCCTAAATTGGCAAGTCACCCAGTTTGTGTTCAAACTTGTCAGGCTCCCAGAGTACTAGGATTATAGGCATGTGCCGCCACACACAACTATCACAGTTTTACTGATCTAATACAGTTTATACACCTTTGAGAACTAGTGCATTTCTTTCACTAGTATTTAAGACCATCAGCACCATTTAAACAACAAATGGTCCTTTAGGTTATTACTTCCTTTCATGTCTACAAATGAGTTCTAGGAAGCAATTTTTTTTTTTTTTTGTTTTTTTTTTTTTTTTTTTTCCTGGTACCGGGGATCGAACTCACGACCTTGTGGTTGCCGGGCAGGCGCTGTGCTGCTGAGCTAAATCCCCAGCCCCTCTAGGAAGCAATTTTAAGGAAATTCTTACTCTCTTCTGTTTACTCCTTTTTTAAAAATTTCTGTTCTTTCAGTCTCAGATTTTTACATCTGTCTGTACTTTTTTCCTAAGTCTTTTACAGTTAAGAATTTTGTTTTCCTTTTTTAAGAAAAATATTTATTGAATGTATTGGGTTTCTAGTATGTATTTGGGTCTGTTTCATCTGCTTCATTTATTGACATCGTACAAAATAGGCAAGCTTGTTAAAAGTTTAAAAGCAAGGGTTTGAAAACTTGCCTTCAAACTTTTTTTTTTTTTTGCTACAATTAGACTCAATTGCTGCTCTTGTGTTTGCTGTGTCCTGATCCATAGTAGAACAAGATTTTATTGTGTTTTTTAAAATTCCGTTTTGATTGGAGAACCTGAAAAACAATAGTTTTTTGTTGTTTTCAGTTCCCCCCAAGGAGTTCAAAGACTGGTGAAAGCAAATAGAAAAATTACTTACTTTGCAGTTTTGTTGAAAGAAAAAGTAGTCATCTTGTATGAGATTCTTCAGTATCATAAAATGTTCATAGCAGAAAGTTAACGAATTCATATTTAAAGTAGGTTGATACTTGTAATTATGAACTTTGATGTTTTTGACTCTTTTAATGTTCTAAAATTGAGGATTTTTTTAAGAATGAGATTTTATTCCTCGATTTATAATAATAACATGCATACGCATACCATCAGTTCTTATGCATAGTGGTGTGTTCTATAAAGCCTTCCCCAATCCTGAATTAATGAGAGAGGAACCTGCCCCTTCTTTCCCACCGGGTCTTGGGGTTTACATACGAGATGGTCTGCTGCTTCTGTCAGGCCTGGGTGGTGTGTCAGAGGCCAGCTTTGCTGGGGTGCCACTTGTCCTGTGTTTGCAGGCTGAGGGCCACGTGGTAACTCAGAAGGTGGTGCGCTAAGACAGTGGTGGCAACCCTTTGGCACACATGCCGCAGCAGGCTGTTGGTATCACTGAAAACTCCAGAAGGTTCGCCATCACTGCTCTGAGATTTCTTCCCTCACTGCTTGGTAGAGATCTCCTCCAAGTCCTTACAGCAGCCCTACAGGAGAGCTGTCAGATTCTCACTTGCTAGGTGAGGAAATGGAGGCTCAGAGGGGAGATCTGGACGTGTCCACGGCCTTGTAGCTGATTGGGCGGGGCTGGGCCCAGGACCTATGCTCCGGTGACCTCTCCTCTACTCCACAGAGCCCACCGGCTCTCAGCCTGGCCTTCTGCACAGCCCGGTACCAGAGCTTTTCATCCCGGAAGACTTTTCAGGAGAGTTTTACAAGTTGGAAAAAAATTAATTGAAATTTTAAGAATAAATGCTAAATTTGTAATTATTTGCTTTCAGTCAGAAATTGGTTTTGGGAAAATGGAAACCTACATCAAATTGGAAAAGCTTGGAGAGGTAAGTACTTCACTTCAAAACGTGAGATTTTTTTCCTGTCCATCATCTGCATGCCTCTGTTACTCTTCAGTTTTTACTAATCTGGAAAAAAAAATAAACATGGCTGACTAAAAGATTTTATCTTGTTTTGAAAAGTAAATGGAAAATTACCAATAAGGCCTTTCCATCCTTCAAATTGTCCCATCAGTTTGAGAAGAAGTTGAGTATTTTTTATAGGCTTGTTATAATTTTGAAACACAAAGTATTGCACTTTCTGGGTATCAAAATAGGGTTTTGTCTGTTAACCTCCTCGCAGTCTACTGTCTGTGCTGCCAGGTGGGAAACCGTGAGCTCAAACTTGTGAACAAATGGTATCTCTAGAGAAGACACACCTCAAGGGTAAGGGAATTCTTAAGGCCTGATGTTCTTGAATTTGCTACTGACTGCACCATTAATAATTTAGAAACTACCTACCCCTCCAGTAAGAAAGCAAAAACTTAACAGATTTAATTAAATAGGAAATAGGAAGCTTAAAGGAGTTTTTAAAAGGAGAATTAATATATAAAAGATTGTGAAAAGCCCCAAAACAGAAACATTTTCATGATTTAACAGTGTAATTATATTTAATGTGCTCAGTTAATGTCCTTTACTCCTCACACCCCAGTGCAAATAACGCACTTTGATTTTAAAACTATTGATCCAATTGTTAATCTGAAATAAATTACAAAATGTAAATTACCCTCTGTATATTTTTATACTTTTGAGACACTCTAATATCATAGGTATGTGGAAGCTGTACATTAGGGAACTGACCGCCTTCTCTGCTCTGAGAAAAATTAATGCTGACTTTTGTGAAGTTTTCTTTGCAAGATATCATTTGGCACAGTTTGAGATTAGAAACTCACTTAATGGCTTTTTATTGCATAGATGGTGTTAAGACTCATGACAGTGTTGATGTATTGTTCAAAAATATATTTTATAGGGTACATATGCAACAGTATATAAAGGAAGAAGTAAATTGACAGAGAATTTGGTGGCTTTAAAAGAGATCCGATTGGAACATGAAGAAGGTGCACCCTGTACAGCTATAAGAGAAGGTATAATATTTGTATTAAACATTTTAAAATCAAAGCTTTAGAAATATGTTTAAACAAGTAAAAAGTTCAGCCATAGAAACAATAGGTGACTACAAAACACTAAATATTTATGGAATTCTTGTATAGTTAATAATGAAATCTGATGAAATCATTAAAAACTATTGACAAATACTTGACATGGAGAAGTGTTAGTATTGGTACATAGGGAACATGGTACATAAATTAGCTGTATAGACTAATACATATAAGGAAATAAGGTGAATTATTCAAATGGTTTGAGAAAACGGATCAACAGTGTGGAAGAAGAAAGCCCTTTCCACTTTTTGTATAAGTTAATCCCAGAGCCTAAGGAAGTTAATATTAAAGACAAAACAAAACAAAGACAAAGCAGAAGATGGGGAATTGTAATACTGAGAACAGAACAACTTTAGGTTCTGTAGTCTCAAACCCAAAACCAGAAAAGAAAAGAAAAAAAATTTATGCTACCAACCCCCTTGGTGAATTACTGTTTTAAATTTAAAATACAAATCTTAAAGTCAGTTCATATGTTAGGTTAATTCAGGATTTTATGAAGACTAGCTATCAAAAAACTAAAGGCACCTTTTTTTTCCCTTGTTTTACAGTTTCTCTCCTAAAGGATTTAAAACATGCAAATATAGTCACCTTACATGACATTGTTCACACAGATAAATCTTTGACTCTGGTCTTTGAATATCTGGTAAGCATTTAATAAAAATTTAATAATTTTGCTTTAATAGCAAATTGAACTTGTTAACAGCTACAAGGACGTTACTAATTATTGATGTTTAAGTGAATTATGTGTGTGATGCATTCTGTATCTTTCTTGAAAAGCAGCTTGTTTATAAAATTAGATACTATTAAGTGACTCAGCTGTGCATTCTGAAAAGTGTGTATCACATAGTAAAGTGCTGTGTTTTTCAGGATAAAGACCTAAAACAGTACATGGATGACTGTGGGAATATCATGAGTATGCACAACGTAAAGGTATGTTTTTCTTTGACAGTTTTAAATTTTGTTAAAAGAATAAATGAACTATGTTACACAATAAAATGTACCAGCTTTATAACTAATTCAGAATTTTCTCCAGCATTTTAAATAGATTGTCTTCTGAACATATTTAATCAAATTCTGTTTACTACATTATATGTATAGCTTTCTTAGGATTAAACCTTTTCGTAGAACTTCATTTAAAGTTTAAAAAAATTTTAACGTTTCCTTTTACATTACAACTTATTATCTATATGTAGAATATATATACTGGTACATTCAGCTTTGAAAAAAAAAAGTTTAAGATAAATACAAATGATAGGTCCATTCTGCAAAAGGCTTCCTTTAAAGAGCGATTATTTGCTCGGAATGGTATTTTAAATGGGATGTCATTATAAAGTAACAACTTTTCAGGGTTCTGACCTAATGAATAAGGTCAGGAGCCAAGAGGTATTAGGACTGCTATGCTGGAAATACCCGTTTATATTGTCAAAACAGAAGTAAGATACTTGTGTTTTCTTAATAAAACTAAGAATTCATGCGGTACTAAACATTTTTGCTATAACAGTACCGGATGAAACCTGAAAGTTATTAGTTGAGTAAAATCGTTGGATATAAATGTGTTCTTACTGCAGTAAGAACTAGTCACTTTGACCTGAATGGTATTGTCCAGATTTAGCAAAGATGTATTTATCCAAACTTGGTCAGCAGTTTTTGAGAACCTATTTTGGAAATAGTCTGTCCCATCTATGTGTTTAAGACATTTCTAATTCTGTAGGTAGTAAATGTAAACGTATGTGTTTTGTTGCTTTTAAATTGTAAGTTTGGTAGATGTAAAGGTGAACCAGTTCCTGTTACTAAAAGAGAGCTCCAATCATATTGGTCACACATAGCTAAGAATTTTAGAACAAGGCTTTAAATGTTTTTTCATATACATTCTGTAAAGATTGTTTTCATCATGTTGCACATTTCATTTTGCAAGGTATTGTGAATGTCATTTGTATATCTACTTATTTTTCCTACTTTTCTATTAGCAATAATTTGGAAAGAAAACAAGGTCTGAGGAGTTTTGATTTTTTTATACCCAGGTCTATATGGGCTAAAAAAGTAGAAAAGCACTTTATTATTCACTTGTTAAAATTATATTTATATTTTTCAAACAAAATTTTACAAAACGTTGAAATAGTAATTTTAGTTTTCAAAATACATAAATATTTGAGTCTAGAAACTATTGCTTAGAATTCATTCAGGCAGTCATACACCTTTTGCCTTGGCTTGTTCTTGGTGTTCTAATGCCTGTTTTTCACCTGCAAGTGAAAGGTGTGAAAGGTCCTCTTGAGTCCTCTGTATTTCAAGTTTTTTTTTTTTGTTAACCCCAAAGAATCAAGATAGTTCCACATCCCACTTTCCACCAAAATCCACCAAGAAACCTCTTCCATTAGCTTTAAGGTACCACTTTTTTCAGTTACTCAGAGCACTATAGTGCTAATGCCTCTTTTGAATCAGCAGGTTTTCAAGACTGAGTAGGAGGTGCTGAAAGTACAGTACTTAGGAGGTGGGTGATAGAAGCTGGCTAGATTATTTTTATAGCAAGTAATTTGCCAGAGCAAAGCAATGTAGCACCATTCTCTGTAATATTCAGACTTTTCCTGAAACCATCAGTACCTCGTTTGAAAGACACTGGTCCAGATGAGGTGTGGGGATTTTTGCTTATTTGTGTTTTGATGGATGTGGGTTTTCATTTGTTCTTAGAAGGAGGGGTATAAGTGGCAGGGGCTGATTTCTTGTTAGGTCAAGATTTAAAATCAAACTGTAAGCCTTTGTAGGTTAATACGTTCACGAGAAATGAACTGTTACTACTAAGACAAAGGTTCATTTTATTTGTAGTATATATTTTCCTAGGTATTGTTAGATCAAAAAGGCAGATACTTCAACGTGATTAGTAAACTATAAAAGTCGGCAAACAACTATAAAAGGAAAAGGTATTGTTCTTTAAAGGATAAAATTACTTAATTTTTTCTTTTACTATTCTAGACCAGGTGCTTTTCTGGTATTTAATTTGTGCTTGTGTTCACTGTCTGTGAGACCGATTTCCACTTCCTGTTTCTGTAGCTATTCCTGTACCAGATTCTACGCGGCTTGGCGTACTGCCACAGAAGAAAGGTGCTGCATCGAGACTTGAAACCACAGAACCTCCTCATTAATGAGAAAGGAGAGCTAAAGCTAGCGGATTTTGGTATGGAACGATCAGGTGGCTAAGTATAAAAAGAATAACCATGGTCACAGTGTGTCGTCATTTTTCTGTGGGGGTTTGGAAGTTCTTTCTGTACCCCACAGAATAAGATACTTGACAGAATTTTCGTGGGTGGTTGACGTTGGTTAACAGCAACCAATACCAAAAGCCCGGAGTCCTCAAGTTGTAGTCCATAAACCTCACGTGCTCCTGAGGTCCTTTCTCAGGAGAGAGCTCCAAAGGTAAAATATATTATCAAAATTACACCAAATGTTACTTGCCTTTTTCAGTTAGTTAATATTTGCACTGATGATCCAAAAATAATAAAAGAGGGGAAACCTACTGTTTACTTAGTATATGTCAAGTCAGTGCCACCAAAGTATATAGAATTATATTCTTTTACCAGCTGACACTTTTAGGGAAATTTATTAACTTTATTAACTCTCCATCTTTGAGTACATATCTTTTAAGTATCTTTTGAAATGAGTAGGAATTATACATAAAAACACATTCATTACACACAGAAATACTACAGTTACCTCAGAAATATTTGTGTGATTGTATTTGGATTCAAGCTGAACTAGACCCTCCCCACTCTTTTTTAAAGAAATAACAGTTTTACTTTTAAAAAATGGACCAACAGGCCAACTGTGGTTATTTATTTAGACTCAGATATTTGGCAGAATTTTCTTGAAAATGAATGAACTGAGCCTGTCGTTTTACAGAAAACAACAAAGTATTTCCTGCCAATCATAAAATTCAGATTTTCTTTTTTTTTTGGCCTTTTGAGACAGGGTCTGCCTATGCAGTTCAGGCTGGCTTTGAGCTCACTTTGTAGCTCAGGCTGGTCTCGAACTTGCAACAATCCTCCTGCCTCAACCTCCCAAGTGCTGGGATTACAGGTGTGCACCACCATGCCTTGCAAAATTCAGATTTTCAAACAAAAATTAGTTTGAAAATTTGGATCTGCTGCTTTGGGCTTAATAATTTTCCAATACCCAGAGACTTTTCTAATGAGATCAGTGGTGATATTGACAGGATTTTTTTGATATTATGAACATTTGTAATATATATAACTCAAGGAACCATTATTTTCCAAATTACCAATGCATGATAATATTATAGACTTGTACATGGGTAAAAGAATACAAGATAGACCAGCGGATTTTAACAGCACTGCAAGTTCGTTGATATTCTTGCTGTTCCCGTATAACCTTTAAAATATAATTTACTCTCCCTACTTCTAATGTAATATCAAAGAGAACTATCAACAGTTACCAGAAAAGACTGTTAAAATGTTCCTCCTGTTTCCTGTTTCCAGTTTGTCTGTGTGAGGTTTGATTTTCTTCACATATGTGTAAACCCATATTATACATGTGTTTGGTACACTGTGAAACATGTATTGTGATACATATCAAAGAAGCACATCACAACATTGAATGCACAAGTAAATATGGAATCCACTCTTACATTAAAATAGGGCCCTCTCTGGCAAGCATGAGGTCCTGAGTTCGATTTCCAGTACCAAAGGAAAAAAAAAAAAAGGACCATTCTTAATAATGTTATTACTGTTAAAATATGTTATTAATGTTAAAATATGTTATTAATGGAAAAATTGTTAAAATATGTTATTAATGACAGCATGCATGAATGGTATTTTTTGTTGTAGTGGTGGTTTGGTTTGGTTTGGTTTGGTCTTGTGGTAGTAGGTATTGAAACCAGGGCCTCTTGCACTAAGCAAGTGCCCTACTTAGACACTGAGATATGTCCCCACGAGTGGTTTTTTAAATGAGTAAATGTTTCAACTAGTAAATAAGTACTTTAAGTTTCCTTTGTTTTAATTTCAAATATGTTATCAAAAATAATCTATGTAAGTACTGTAAAAAAAATTGGGGGTCCTTAATATTTTATTGTTTTTTTCAGGCAAATGTATATCTTTTATGGATATACAAAAATGGTGTCTGATGTAAATTTTTACTTAAATCTAGAGACCTTTTCCTTAAGTATAAAATAAAAACCCCAAGAACAAAAATATTATATCACAATTTAAAATTTGAAGCAGTTTTTTCTTCCTTAATGAAATACATAGTACTTCTGTCAGTGGGGTATTAAATCCTCCAAACTATAGAAATAGCTGTTGTTTATTACACATTTGCTATGCTCTTGGGTGCTTACTGTACTTTTGATTCTTTTTTGTTGTTATTATTGGTGCTGGGAATCAAACTGAGAACCCTGCGCTTGCCAGGCAGGCGCTTTGTGCCACTGAGCTATAGCCCCACCCTTACTGTACTTTTGTTTTGTTTTGTTTTGTTGAGACAGGGTCTCTCTGTGTATTTCAAGTTGGTCTTAAAAACATCATGTATCCTAGGCTGTCCTTGAATTCTCAGCAATCCTCCTGTCCCAGCCTCCCGAGTGCTGGGATTACAGATGTGTGCCACCACGGCTGGCCCGAGTCCTTAATTTTTCTTTTTTTTTCAGGTACTGGGAATTGAACTCATGACCTTGCGCTTGCCAGGCAGGCACTGTGCCACTGAGCTAAATCCCCAGCCCTGGGTCCTTAATTTTTCAAGAGTAGAAAATAAGTCCTAGGACCCAAGACTTTGGATCCAGCTCTGTGAAAGAGGTTTCCTTAATATATATGCCTGCCATTACTCTGTATTTATTGTGTGCTCAGTAATTAAATTGTAGTTGTTTACCTGTATCATTTTAGCTTATCTGATATTGGATTTGAAAGTAAAATAGCTGGGCATGGTGGTGCACACCTGTTATCCCAGCACTTGGAAGGTTGAGTCAGGAGGATTGCTGAGAGTTCGAGGCCGGCCTACACTACATACATAATGAGACCCTATTTCAAAAAACCAAAAAAGAAAAAAAAGTAAAGTAAAATAACATGCTTCTTTTGCTTCTAGGAAGTAAATTGTTTTTTATTCTGAAGGAACTTTGTAGAGTAGCTGTGATGATTTTGTGTTGCTGTCAGCTTGAGTACTCTAATAGAACTTAGTTTTTGAAACCTATACTGTTCCCATAATTATCATTTGTGATTTTTCACAAGTTACAATACTTTTACTTTGGGGATAGTTCACCTAAATTTCGTAAATGCATATATTTCAAGTATTGCTTAGTAACAAATTAAAAAGTTATTACTTGGTGAATTTGTCTTCACAGTTCCTATACTTATGGTCATTTAAATTTTGCCATTTGTCTGAAAGGTAAATTGGTATTTGTATTTCCTTCCTTAAAAATGAAACAAATGGGCCACGTGTTTTTAAATAAGACATTATAGACTATTACATAGATCTTACAATTTCTTCTTACACAGTTTATTTTCCTATAATTGTTCCCGCTCCACTCCTTCCACCTCCTCTTTGCCAAACTGCATTTACTGCGCTTTGTTCTTAATCCCAAAATGAGTGGCACTTTCGGATATTCACAAAAGGAATGTCAAGGGCCATTTTAAAAAATCTAGTTTTATCCAGGCATACTCTGAATGCTTTACATTTGGCTTTTAACCTCTGCAAAGCAGGCCATACAAATTTTATCTTCCCATAGGCCAATAAGAAATTCTGATTATTCCATGAGATAATATAATCAACTTTGTCTCTGTTGCTTTATTTTGTTTTTATTGATTGCAGATACATTATACCCGTGGTTTCTGGGAAGGGAGGGTGATTTGTGTATTTTACTGTTAGTTCTTTATCCCTTTAAAAGTTCTACCCTTTTACCAGGATCAGTGAAATTCAGAAATCTAAGAATTACTGATATAGACATTTTCATTAATGACAAAAATCGGCTTGTATAATACTGTATCACATTTAGTTAACTCAGATGGAGAGAAATTGCTTATTTCACTTCATGCCACCGCTGGAATTCTAACAATGAACCAGGAGCCTGTGTGGACAGGCGTCCTACGTCAGGATCTTCTCAGGAGTAGAAGAGTAAAGTACAAGGAAATAGTAACTGGCCATTTGCCTTGATGGTGTGAGTTATAAGTAAACAGATTTGTAGACTTGTCCTTTGTTTCTTGTTATTAGAAAGACAAATCAGAATGCTGCCTTTGATCTTGCTAATTGCCAAAAATTGTAGAAAAATAATTCATTGAATTTATTGCACCAAGTTGGGATGCTAGAGTAAAATTTGTAATTAAAATAGTGTCAACATTGTTTGAGTTAACACCTGCTAGCCATTATACTAAAGTACAATAGTGTGAGTACCATCTAATCATTTAAATTTCTAGTTTTATGTGAGTTCAATATTGAGTTACCTTTTTTTTTTTTTTTTTTTTTTTTTTTTGGTATTTTTGAGACAGGGTCTCACTATGCAGTTCAAACTGGCCTTGAGCTCACTTTGTAGCCTAGGCTGGTCTCAAACTCACAACAATCCTCCTGCCTCAGCCTCCCAAGTGCTGGGATTACAGGTGTGTACCACCACACCTGGCTAGTATTGAGTTTTTAGTGACATTTTTCTTGATAGTCTAATCAAATATGTAGTTATGTAGAACAGAAATCTCAGCCTAAAAATGAATTCTCATTATTTGAAATAAAATACATAAAAATAAATTTATATTTCTTCAGCTCTTCTTTGTTGCTTCTTCAGGAGATCAGACGTTAGAGGTGTAGAGGTAGTAATGCTCATGCTAGTGACAAAGAGATAAGGTGGGAATGCAAGACTTTCTTTCCGGAAAATGAGTGGATTCCATATTGAGGCAATTATCCCAATTAGTAATATCCCAAAGCAGTGAGGTCTCTCATTTTAAAGTTATCCATATAATTTACAATACAAAAAAGGAATACAGAGAGCATTAGAACTTATTCCCAGGAAGCCTTCTCTAAATAGATTTCTGTGAGGAAATTGTCAGTAAAACCTAATTGGATCATGGACCAATGATTTCAAGGTTTTACAGTGAACCAGTATAGCAGTTGAATGTTGAAATTAGGTTAAAAGGTGATAAACGTTTATAGGTATAGCGAGTAAAATTGTATTTCTCAGTATCAATGGCTTATTTTACATTAATTTAATTTCATCAAGGAAATAATTGGGCATCATGACTCACAAATAAAAGGAAAACATCCTAAGTTTAAATTAACCCAGACTTGGTTTGAGGTACATTCATACACATAAAAGTAAGCTTATTCCCTGATTGTGGAATTGAGTGGAGACATTTTTGAGGTAGGGGCTGAGAAATCCATTGTATTCATAATGTATTTGAATATATTTAATTCTTTGTTTTCTTTTCCCTATGAAGGACTAGCCAGAGCCAAGTCCGTTCCAACGAAGACCTACTCAAATGAAGTTGTCACACTGTGGTATCGGCCACCTGATGTGCTTCTTGGTTCCTCAGAGTACTCAACACAGATTGACATGTGGTAAATATCGACAGACATTTTAAAGAGCATAGTAAAAGCAGTGAGCAAGAATTATGACCTGGAGTCATAAGAAATGTCATTTCCTAGATTTAAATATCACTTCTCCCATTATTTGATGGCCTTATTCAAATTATTGGCTTGTGCCTTAATTTCCTCATTTAAGGAAATGGGATTTGTAATAACTACGTCAGAGTTCTGTAAATAACATTAAAAAGAACTGAGCTAATACAAAAGAATCACTCACAAAACTATGAGACATAGTAATTTAAAACAGAATTACTATTTTTATCATTTAATATGCACCAAAATCTACCTACTTTAAGTTGATCTAAAAATAATAATTAAAATATTATGGCTGTCCTCACATACCACTTTGAGCATCACACTGCTCCATCCAAACATCTTTGTCACCGGTGCATTCATGATCTAGAATAAAGTGTAATTCCTCAGTCTCAGACTTAAATATATCTGTAAGATGTCTCAAAAGTATCTTTGCAGCTTACTGCAGACTTTTTCACTACATCTGTTTCTTTCTATCCAAAAGGCCTACTCAGTACATCTCAAAAACAACCTGAACTCTCCCACCTTTGCTTGTAGTGTTTATTCCAGTCCACCCACCTGGCCTCTGTTCTTCTAACTGGGACCTGTACTTAGTAACCTTCCAAAAACCCAGCTTTGTAGAATTCTTTCTTGAATACAGCCTACCCTTCAGCGGTCAGTCCTTGCTCTGAACTGTGGTTGCATGTACTGCCTATACTTTATGTACCTGTGCTGAGAAGTTACGTACTTCTGTTGTCGTGAACAGTTACATGAAATCTTTTATATAACTTCCTTGTAAGTTCTAATGTAATGTGCAGAACATAAAATCTACCGCCGTAATCGGTTTTAAGTGTGTACTTTGAGACATTAAGCACATTCACATTGCTGAGCAGCTATCCCCACCATCATCTTCAAAACTTTCTTCATCTTGCGGAACTAAAACTCCGTACTGATCAAACTCCCTATTCCACCCGTTTCCAGCTGTTGGCAGTTACCATCCTTCTGTGAATCTGACTGCTCTGAGTACCTCGGATGAATGGAATAATGCAGTATTTGTCCTTTTGTGGCTTGTTTACTAAGCTTATTTCACCAGCATAACATCTTTAAGGGTCATCCACGTTGCAGCGTGTGTCAGGTTGAACACTGTGTGTATATGCCAAGTGCGTTTGTCCCTTCATCCATGGGAGACAGATACTCGAGTTGCTTCCATCTTGTAACTACTGAAAATAATGTTGCTGTGAACATGGATGTGCAAGTCTCTGCTTTCAGTTCTTTTGGATATACACTTAGGAATAAAATTGCCAAATCATATAGAAATTGCTTTAATTATTTGAGGAGCCACTGTACTGTTTCCCATAGCAGCTGTAACATTTTACTTTCTGTATAATGTTTCAATATATAAAAATAAATTTTATAAGCTTTAGTGTATTTACTAGATTGTGAGCCCTTTAATGGAAGGACTGTATTGTAAACTTACTTGTATTCCCAGTTTCTAGATGACAGCGTCTATATTCAGAGTCTCCATCCATTTTTTCCTTTACACACACACACACACACTCTGCCCTATACCTACCTGTTCTTAATTTCCTCATTTAAGGAAATGGGATTCGTAATAACTTATTACGAATTATTTGCTTCTCTCTATGCCTGCTACCCACTGGTATAGGTCAGGCCACTGTCATTTCCCAGACTATCATAATCGTGTTTTCAGTTGGTTTTCTTCCTTCTTGTCAGACCATGGTCCACACTATAGCCGAGGCAAGGATTTGATGACAGTATCCACTCACAGCTGAAAACACACAGTTAGCATTCAGTAATTATGTATTGTGTTCTCTAAGAATCATGCAGAACTCTTTAATGATTTGAGCAATCTTTCATTCTTGCATCTGATAATCTGAGCAATGTAGTTGAGGATGGCGATATGTAATGTAACAACCACTGTTGACTCGTATTACTTTGTCTTAAGACCCTGTATCACTTTGAATGTTCTTGCTTTGATTTGTTTGTTTGTGATACTGGTATGCTGCTACTGTTCTATTCTTTTGTTTGTTTGTTTCTCGTGTACTGCTCTTTTTAAAATTAAAAAAAAGTTATGCAGAAGAGAACTGGAAATTTTAAGTGGGAAAAATGAGTTAGCAATATGCAAATTGAGACACATAGAGTAAATGTTAACAAATTAGATTTAAAGATACCTTGGCAGGAGGTTTTCTAGCAGACTGATACAGAATTCTTCAGGAGGCAATCTTGAAAACAATTCTTCTGCTTCATAATATGTAAATAGATTGTTCTTTTTTTTTTTTCCCATGATATATTTTAAAGGGGTGTTGGTTGCATTTTCTTTGAAATGGCTTCGGGAAGACCTCTGTTTCCAGGATCGACTGTGGAAGATGAACTACACTTAATTTTCCGGCTATTAGGTAACCGAAGAAATCCTTTTCCAGAGATTTACACCTGCAGTTGATTAGCTGGATTAACACTGTATCTCTAAAATATATATTTAAATATGTGATACTGAGACTAACATAACCAGCTGTTACATTTAAGAGTCACCACTGGCTTAATTATTATAAGATAGATTTTTCTAGGTAACAATTTGCAGAGTTTCATAATGCAATAAAGAGTTTATGAAAGGAAAAGAGAAATATTACTGAAAATTTAGCTTTAGCATATTATTAAGGAATAATTCTAGGTTAGGTAGAATCATCTAGATAGAAAAAGGTCAGACATCCTTATAGGTGTGATTAAAAAAATACAGTGAATATGCACATTTAAGAATTTATTATAGTAACAGACACATTGCCATCAGTCCGCCTCTCCCAAAATACTGCTCCTTGCTTCCAGCACATTCTTACCCCATCTTATCCCACGTTATTATCTCATTATTCTTGCCACATTCTGAAACAGCTCTGGGTGTCCACTTTCATATCGTCAGTTGCATTGTTGTGGGTACCTCGAGGTCCTGAGTTGATTAAAAGTGTTTACCTTTTATGGTCATTTTGACTTGCAGGAAGAGCCAGAACTCAAATGGTGCCAGATCCAGTGAGTAAGGCAGATGAGGAGACACGAGAAAGCTTTCACTTGACAGTAGTTGCCATAAACAACTGATCGATGGTCTGACCCCAAAATAGAGTTAATGTTTAAATTTTAAAATGTGTTACAGTAAAAGACACATTGCCACTAACATTTCTCACAGCCCTCAGACTACGCCCCCCTCGTGTTGAACACACTTACCCCATCATTCCTGGTAGTGTGTCTCTTACAATAATAAGTTTATTTTTTTTTTTTTTAAATTTAACTTTCATTGTAACTTTGGATCGCCCTTTGTGTTTATAGCATCTTTACATAGTCCATAAGTAATACATACATATTTTTTATCATTGAGTTGAAATTAAATCATCTAGTAAATGTAAATTGCTCCCTAAGACATTTCTTAGTTCTACCTATCATCTGTACATATATAATTATATGCGTATATAATTTTATGTATATTCATACATATATAAATTTATTTTTTAATTCAGGAACTCCATCTCAGGAAACTTGGCCAGGTGTTTCTTCAAATGATGAATTCAAGAACTACAACTTCCCAAAATACAAACCACAGCCTCTAATAAACCATGCACCCAGGTATTCTTTTTCTTAAGCAAAAAGGGGAAAACCCATGTTACTTTTTTCAGTCTTTGAAATATTTAACCAATAAAGGTTCATGGCTATTTTTTGTTATTTATATATAATATTAAAAAATCCTATTTTTTGTTATTTATATCTAATACTACAATACTTAAATGTTTGGGGATCTAATTTAATTAATTTCTTTCTTCCTTTGTCATTTTTTTGTAATTCAATGACCAAGAATCAACAAAGTATATAAATGAATTTGAGCTGTAAATAAATAGAATGTATGTATGAGAATTTTTGTAGACAGTCCTTTTTCCCAGGAAGGTACCATTGATTAATACCTTACTAAATATGAAAGGAGTGATACATTTCTGTTCTGCTTTCTGCAGAATTGTTCTGCATCTACTTACAGAAACCGCTGATGCATGATGTTCTATCAGTATTCTTAGGTGACATGATTTTGTATTTGAATACTATACACTCTTTTGACACAGTGAAACACAGGTCCTATGTGTCAGCACTGCAGTTGGAGTTTCTCCTCACACCTGTCAATCCAAGACACCCCTTAAAATTTGAGTCAGAATATTTTCACTTGTAGAATATAGGACATTAGCACAGTAACATAGAATAACAAGGCCTTCTGACTACATTTTCCACTCTCTTTAAAATGAATTCTTTTTTAAAATCACCACAGTACCAAATAAGAACATTGGTTTAATCAAAAGCCATTCACATTGCTTACAACATAACACACTTACTTTGCTTCCGCTTATTCTAAAACCAGGGAAGGGACAGCAAAACATTTCTGACACCAAAAATATTGTAGCAGTATTTATATGTATTGATGACCTTTTTGTTACTATAGCAACTAATATTCTCAATTAGGCTTTCTTAGGAAGAAGAATAATACAGTATGTGCTGGGCTTTTTAGTGTGCCTCCAGAGCAGCATGAGTCCTATTTTTTGTTATGTATATATTGCTTGCTTCTGGTAATATGCAGTGCAGCTTGAAGCAGATGCTCCATGGTTTTAGCACCTAGTTTGTGCCCAGAGAGCTCCCTGTATGTGCCAGGAAGGCAAACTATGGAGGACTAGCAGTCCCTGGAGAAGGTTCGGCCTGCAGCATCCACAGGACCGAAAGAGGCTCAAGGGAAAATATTTCCTTATTTGTGGTTGTACTTTTGCCCAGTGTGGTGTCTGATCAACAGATTATTCCATTGAAATAAACATTTCATTAAAATACTGTTCCTAGTTATGTCAGTTACATCAGTGTAATTGGTTATCCTTATTGACTATCTCTTTGGTTTCTTAGTCCTTATTAATGAAGTTCTATGAAATTCTGGCGTATTAAAACGGAACTTGGTACCCTCTAGGACCCACTGATGGGCAGATTATCCTGAAAAACTTTGTTGAATGGCTTTTCCCTGGCTTTATCTTGACCCGCAGAGGTATCCGAGGATCCCTGTCTCAGTGCTCCCATCTCGGTGATAGGAAAACGGTGCTGTTGTGTGCTGTCTTCACGGGAGCACTGCAAGTCGGTGCATGCTTAAGCTTCATTACTGAGTTTCACCCTTGTGAGACAGAACAGTGACTAAACAATTTCTACAGCTTTAACAATTAATTTTTTCTTGAATATTCAAAATTTGAATTGAAGCCCAATTACTTTATGGTTTGTTCTTAACAAACACGACAGATAAGTCTTAGAAAGCTAAAACAAATTTAAGTCTACCTGAAGGCAACAATAGTGGCCATTTTATGGCACTTAAACTTAGCAAATGAAAATACTTCAATGAAATAGTCTTATCTGAAAAGTTTCTATCAGTAAAGGGATAAATTGCTACTTTTTTGTTGTTTTTAGGTTAGACTCTGAAGGAGTTGAATTGATCACAAAATTTCTTCAAGTAAGTTACATCCTATTTTGTAAATGTTCAGTGAATATTTAAGCCTTGGTTTCTTCATATAGAATTGGATGAGTAACAATGCCCTCAAACATTGCTAAATGGGATTATTTGTGTTAGTATCTGGCATGCTTTAGGCACGTACTTAAGTAAAGCTTTTAATAGATGGTTTCTCTTAAGTGTCTGGGTCTCTTACTGTGACCTAAAACAGTCCGAGGTAATCAGCTGCTGGCATGGATCAACTGTGTCAAGGCCGTGTTCTCTGCAATTCACATTCTCTTATGTTCTCTTTTTCCTTATACTTACTGCCTTACAGGATGCTGCACCTCCAACTACCACTCATTTTCCTCCAAAGCAGGAAGAAGAGGGAGGATGAGGGTGGTACCAGCCACATTAACTCTTGTACTTGAAAGCAAAGGCTTTCGCAGAAACCCCTGCAAGGCTTCTTCCCAAGTCTCATTGGCCAGAGCATTAATTGTAAGAGGCTGGGAATTGGGGAGCAGGATTGTTATGATTAGCTCAGTCATAGAGCAGTCATGATTCGTGCTCCATCTGATAGCAGGATGGACACTTGGAACAAGTCTAGATTGTCTCATCAGGGAAGACAGAACAGTGGGTATTGGATAGATACATAGCAGAACATCTGTAGTGAGGATATTGTGTGTATTTCCAGCAATCCTGTGGTGTTCATGAAGAAAATTAAGACTAAAGGTTGAATATTTAAGTTTTTTGCCACTTCAGAAAATACAAGGACTCTTAAATTTTTTGAGATCCAGTGTTACCTTGGAAATGTAGAACTAAGATATTGCTACATACTCTCAATAGCAACTCAAATTTGAGTGTATCTGGAGTATTCCAAATTGGTGTTTGAATGTAATCATACTAAGTAATGAAGCCTTAAAAAAAAATAGCTTTAAATCCTAATTTACCCTTCTCCAACTTTTTGCATTAGTTAGAGAAAAGATTAATGAAGCAGTCCTTTGCCTTTCTACAGTATGAATCTAAGAAAAGGGTTTCAGCAGAAGAGGCCATGAAACATGTATACTTCCGAAGTCTGGGACCAAGAATACATGCTTTACCAGAAAGTAAGAGAAATTTTAAAATGTTTTTCTCCCTTTATTTTCATTTGTCCAGAGTTGGGTACTGGGGTGCGTTTAAAGTTTAGAAAGAGAGGATTGTGGAGTTTTTAGTCTTTTGTAATTGGATCGGAGTTTCGCGAAGAATGATGTGTCTTGTTTTTCTGTTTTATTTCCTGCAGTACTGGGCACATTGCCCCTGCTCTGTAAGAAATCCATAATACTCAAGTATGGGTTAATAACCTTAGTGACTTAAGCTGGAATATGCAATCTAATGATGGCATCCTTAGGCCTAATCTAGTTTCAGTTGAGTTATTAAAAGTGGATTTCTATAAGGATTAATGAAGCACAGTGGAAACGTAAGATGGTTTCCTCATGAAAATACATCTCTTCATTATTGTGTAAAGATGATTTTCCTTTCTTGTGATCACTCTGACTTCACTGTCCCCGTGCCAGGGCTGAGCATGTTACCAGAATCACTAAAACAGATTGCCCATGCCTGAAGTGACCGTCTAATTTTGCTCATGATGTTCTTTGCTTTTTTAAATTAGCGCAGTATTTTACTTTAAAATTGAGTGAGGTGAGTGGGGAAGTTCGGTGGCTTGGAAGCTGAGCTGTGAAAAACCCCCATCCTCACTTATTAGACAGTACTGATTCACTGACGTTCAGTGATGACGCTTCCTGAGTCAAAACTCCTGAAGACTTTGCACTCAGAACTTCCTGGACGCGTCTTAGTAAAAGACTGCCTCCTAAAGAGAGTAGAAATGAGAGGCAAATTATGAGTGGTTTTTAAGAAGATGTTAGTGATGCTCACTATTTATCCCAGGTTGGATTTGAGGTAGGTAGCTGTGGTTGTGGAGACCTACCGCTCTTCCCTAATACCTTAATACCCCCCTAAAGAGACAAAGAAGAAAGGCGGAGAAGTAGAGCCCACTGACAGATTTTGATCTGGTCTCCCAACCCCAGTAACACTGGAGCAGACAGTGTGTTTTTGTTGGAGAAACACCCACTTGCACCATGCTTTAAACCAGAATTGACAGAAGAAAGGTTCTGAAGGGGGATTACTTCATTTGGTTTTCTCCGCAAAACACACAGAAAGGGAGATCTTCCAGCTGGGATATAACCTTTAAACATGGTATCAATGTTTTATGTTGAATCACTACATACTTTCTAAATGTTTCTGTATAGCTGGGTTGTGTTTGCTTTTAATAATGTTACACTTTCACCTGATCGTTTCTGTCTGCATTTCAGGCATATCAATATTCAGTTTGAAAGAGATTCAGTTGCAAAAGGACCCGGGTTTTCGAAATTCTTCTTATCCAGAGACAGGTGTGTTTGTCATAAACCATTTCACATGTCGATCATGAAGTTTTGTGTGGAACCAAGCTTTTGGTTTCTAAGTTGATCAGTAAAACTATTGACGTAAAAACCAATGTACAGTGCATTCCACAACTGTGTATGTTTAGCATTGCACATACTCACTTTTCTGTATGATGTGGGCAGCTCAGTAAATCTTCAGAGAGAAATCTGACTCAGTCAAGTCAGGGATCCTGAAAGCTGCAGATGGCACAGAGACCTTTTACAAGTGGCCTGGCTTGATCACTGCACGCGCCATCCCTGGTACCTGAGGCAGAAGACACATCTTGTGCTTCCCTAGTCATCGGGTTCATCACCTCGAAGCATAGAAGCTGTAGACTGAGCCCGTCGACAACAGGGTCATTTAAGACAGTGCTGATCAATCTTACCGTGGATATTAGCTTTGCTGGTGGGAACATTAGCTTCCTAGTCACCAAATACTGTGTGTGGGATAAAACTGAACCTTGAACTGCCTCATAAGATGACTTTATATTTTAGGACATGGGAAGAACAGAAGACAGAGCATGCTCTTTTAAGTCTGATAACATGGTTTCAAGCCCAGCCCCCAGCCTTTCTTATCAATCAAGGACTCAGATCTGAAGGCAGTAATTTCTTTTGGTGGACTTGGAATCTCCGTTTGTCTACACTGTCCTCTTCACAGTGGAGTCTTTTTATTTCAGACCTACAGATTGTTTTTATATTTGTTGTCACAGTGTGACAATTTTTTGTACAGTCGGTTTTAAGGTCTTCTCTGCCATTAGAGCCAGTAGGTTACAACTATCGATGTAACTGTAGCTGCAATTTTTGTGCAGGACTGAGAAACACAGTGCATTATTTATTGCAGAATCATTGCTGCTAAATAACTACTGTCTGTTTATTTAACACAACAGTTGAATGCCTGAAGAAGTTGCAGTGGCTTTATTATATGTGAATGCATCTGTTTCTCCTCATGGATTGTTTTACTGCTGCATTTTTGTTTGTTTTTAAAATTAAACTGCAGTGTTTCCTGGAATATATATTTAGCTTTGCTTAACAGTAAAATTAAGTGAGCCATCTTGAACTCTTAAGTTTGTGCTATATAATTTCTTATTGAACATTGGCAAATAGAGTAGCTAGAGATTGATACCACATTATGTTTAGGAAAGCATGCTGATGCAGAACTTGATTCAAGCAAGTGAACACCTGATATTTTGGGTTTCTCACATTAGACACCAATAAATTAAAGCACCAAGATTATTTATTGTTATCTATTCCTCATTTTAGAAATGTCTGCTGCATATTACTGGATATTTGTATACTAATAGACTTTAACTATTTTACATTGTGCTTTAATTTAGTTAATACTTAACCATATAAGTTCATTTAAACATGGGAGTCTTGCTTGTGTTTAAGAATATTTCTTTTACTAGAAAGGATGATACTTCATAGGGGCACAGTTTCTTTCTTTTGGGGGCTGTGTATGTTTCAAAACATTCACTTGGAATCAACAAAAAGCTGTAATACGTCTTTGAAATGAGCCATGATAAATTTCAAACGAGGGAAATGAGAACTTAAGAGGATTGCTTTAAAGCATCATAGGTATTATCTGTTTATCAGAGATAATAAATATTACTGTTTTAATTATGCATCTCTTTGAACATCATAAACACAGGTTGGTGTTGGTAACAGTGTTTTAAGCATTTGTGTTCACCTTTAAGACTATTGTTTAGTGCATCTTACAAACTATAAATCTTAATTGGTATATTTTGAAATGGTCATGTAAATTTTTGCCTTATACATCATGAAAATAGTCATAACTTAATTTTTTTCCTGACATTCACTGTAAAAGATTCAGGGGTCCTTCCATTTCTGTTCAGGAAATCTTGTAGTTTATTGTTGTTATTTAACAGTATTAAATGGGTTTTTGTATATTTCATTTTAACTTTATTTGTGAATAGTGATTGTGGCATGTTTGGGGTATTATTTTAATTTTTCATAATACTGAAATTTTAATTTTTAAAAAAAATTCCTGAAAGAAACAGATTCATGTGTGATGGTGAATATCGGACCACTACTGCTTTTCACATCTGTAAATTGGTTTTATGTTAAGCTCGGTAGCCTAACAAACTGCTGTTATTTCTAACGGACAGACATGTATTAATATTGTACTTTGAAGGTTATAAATACTATGTGAAATTCATCCATTTTTTTTGTTTTGAAATTTATAATAACAAAATCTCCATGTTGTATAAAAGCGACTTTGTTGAGTCATGATTCTTTCTGGGGAGGCAGACTGGGCAGAGTGGATTAGGGTTCTTCTGATGTTTCACAGTGAGATGGAGTCTCACTGTGCCAGGAGTGGCGTAGCTGCTTTGTAATCATGCTGACCATTTGTTTAGTAATTTCTGCTGTCGTTTTTATTTATTTATTTATTCTGGTGGTGCTGGGGGTCAAACCTGCGGCCTTGTGCATGCAAGGCAGGAACTCTACCACTGAGCCACATCCCCCCGCCCCTCTGCTGTCAGTTTATAAACTATTCTCACATAGCATCACATTTATCATTTTATGGATATATATTTCATTGGTCACAAATTCGACCTATAGCTTATCCATAGATTTCGTTCTTACACATAAAAGGGGACAGTATTGCATATCCAATTGTGACATAAAATTCTTCCTCCCAGGAAGTTCTAGGGGTGTTCCCTTATTTTGTTAAGGAATTTGGCAAGTGAACAAGTGTTTGTGAGGTTGTTTTTGCTTTTGTTTGTTGATAACCTGAGCACCACTCAGACATTAATCATATCATGGTGCAGAGAGCTGAAACTCAGAGAGTTTGAACCTTCTGCTCTTATAAATCCTCTTAAACTGACGGAGTTCTTAAAGGTAAGAGAGGGATGCCTCTTTTGTTGTCTTTCCAAATGGCGTAGCAACACTCACTGAATGTGCCATTTGGGGTACATAGAGTGGCTGCACTCCGGTGCTTTATCAGCTGAAATTATAGAATTACAGTAATCTGTCTTTGGGACTCAGGACAATTAATGGGCTTGTTGCCCCTTCTTTATGGCATGAAAATGGCAATATTTTAATGATTTATACATGTACAGTTCAGTGGCACTGATTATAGTCACAAAGCTGTCAGTTACCATTTTCACTTGTGATCAAACATAGTTCTGTATTTAACATTTTGGGGACTGCCTCATTGCTTTTCATAGTAGCCTCATCTATTTTATATTCCCAGTCGTGTAACACATGAGGGTTCTAATTTCTCTTCATCCTCACCAGTACTTGTTACTGTCCCTTTTTATTACTCTAATAAATGTGAAATGCTATTGCACTGTAGTTTTAATTGGTATTTACCAATCATTAGTGATGAGCATCCTTTCATGTGTTTTTTGTTTTTCCTTTTGCTTATTTGCACTGAAGAAAAGTCTCTTCAAATAATTTGCTCATTTTAAAAACAGGCTGGTCTTTTTCTCGTTGAATTGTAAGAGTTTTCTATGGACCCTGGGTGTTACCCCTTTATAAGGTATGTTATTTGCAGTTATTCCCTCCCATCCTGTGGGCTGTCTTTCACTTTCTTGAAAGTGTTCTTTTGATGTATATATATTTTTAATTTTAACGAAGTCTAAATCAACTTTTTATTTTGTTGCCTGTGCTTTTGGTGTTATATCAAAGAAACTATTCGCAAGTCTCTAGGATCACAAATGTTTGCCCCTATATTTTCTTTTCAGGTTTTTAGAGTTTTCGCTCTAGCCTTTGGGCATAAACCCACTTTGGAGCTAACATTTGTATGTGGTATAAGGAAAGAGTCCAGCTTCATTCTTTTGTATTCTAATATCCATTTTTTTCCCAGCGCCACTTGTCAAAAATGGTATCATTTGCCTTCTGACTAATCTTGTCCAAGATCAATTGAGGGTTTGTTTCTGGGCTCCTAGCTCTATTCCATTTGTCTGTCTGTCTGTAGGTCTATCCATGTAGAAAGTAGCACAGTGTTTTGATTACTGTAACTTTTTAGTAAGTTTTAAATCAGAAAGTGGGTTCTTCAGCTTGTACTTTTCCAGGGTTGTTTTTGCTTATTAAAGGTCTTCTGAATTTCCATCTGGATTGTAGAATGTATTTTTAATTTCTGCAAAACACAGAAAACAAAAACAAGCTTTTTCTCCCTCAGTTCGGATAATCATGTTGTTTTCTTCACACTGTTGATATGTATTGCCTTGATTGATGTTCGTATGTTAAAGCACAGTTGGACATTCCTGGGGAAGATCCCACATGGCTTTGTTATATATGATTGGGTCTTCATTATTGAAAACTTGGAATAGAAATGTTTCAGTGTTTTCTGAATTTTGGAATATTTGCATACACTTTACTAGTTGAGCATTCTTGTTCCAGAAGTTTGAAATCTGAAATACTCTAAAATCCAAAAATTTTTGAGCATTGTCACTCAGAAAGTTTCAGATTTCAAGACATTTTGGATTTTCAGATTAGGGATGCCCAATCTGTAACTTTTTTAACATGCTGCTAAATTCAGTTTGTTAATATTTTCTTGAGGATGTTTGCCTATATTCTTAAAGGATTTGGCCTATAGTATTCTTTTCTTCTAGTATCTTTGTCTAGCTTTGGTATCAGGGTAGCAGTGGTATCATGGAATGACGTAGGGAAATGCTCTTTTCACTTCAGATTTTTAGAATAGTTCGAGGATTGACACCCATTCTTTTTTTAAGTTTTTTTAATTTTTTTGTCTTTTTGAGACAGGGTCTCGCTGTGCAGTTCAGGCTGGCCTTGAGTTCACTTTGTAGCCCAGGCTGGCCTCACACTTGCAACGATCCTCCTGTCTCAGCCTCCCGAGTACTGGGATTACAGGCGTGCACTAGCACGCCCAGCCGACACCCATTCTTCTTTAAAGATTTGTTAGAATTCACCAATGAGGTTATCTGGTCCTAGGTTTTTATTCATTGAGAGGTTCTGATTAATGATACAGTCTCCTTGTTATAGTTTTACTCAGATTATTATTTCTTCTTGGGTCAGTTTGGGTAGTTGGTATGTTTCTTGGATCTGTCCATTACATTGGTTTTATTCAGTTTGTCATACAGTTGTTCATAGTATTCTCTTCTAATCCTGTTTCTCAGTATTCAGTAGTAACATTTTCACTTTTATTTTCTGATTTTAATAATCCAAGTCTTGGCCAGGTGTGTGGCACACACCTGTAATTCCAGCATGTGGGAGCTGCGGCAGGAGGATTGCCATGAGTTCGAGACCAGCCTGGGTTACACAGTGAGTTCAAGGCCTGGCTAAACTACATAGTGAGACCCTGTCTAAAAAAAAAAAAAAAAAAAAGAAAGAAATTCCAAGTCTGCCCTTCCCCACACATCAGTCTTTGCTCAGTTTTACCAACTCTGTTAATCTAATAAAAGAACCAACTTTTGGTTTTGCTGACTTTTGTTTGTCTGCACTCACTCTTCTAGCTTTGGGTTTAGTTTTGTTTTTTGTTTTTTTTTCTGTTCCTCTCTTCCTTTAGATGTATCATTAAGTTACTGACTTGAGATTTTTTTCTTTCAACATAGACTTTTGACACTGTAATTCTCTCAGCTGTGTTTTCAGCTTACCCTATACATGTAGATACTAGTTTTTGTTTTTATTTGTCATATTTCCTAATATCAGTATGTTGCTTAATTCTTACATATTTGTGGATTTCCCTTTTCCTTCTCTTACTAACTTCTGATTTCATTCTATTGTGATAGGAAAAGATTGTATGATTGCAGTTTAAAAATGATTAAGGTATGTTTTGTGGCATAACATGGTATGTTCTAGAAAATGTTTCATGTGCACTTGAGAGGAACTTCATTCTGAGAGGAATGTTGTTGGGTAAAGAATAGTTTATATGATTCTTATGTCTAATTGGTTTATAGTGATCAGGTCCTCTATTTATTTATTTGTTGATCTGCTCATAAGCAGGCAACTGAAACATTTGAATACCTACATATATACAGACTCCAGTATTTTTAGTGCATTACTTTAGACCCAAGGACGTTCTTTTTCCCTCTTGTTAAGAACCAGAATATTTTGATACTGAATTCAGATTCTAGGTTTAGTTAGATAGGCAGGAGTTTTACATCAATCATTATCATTCTTAGGTGGTCAGTAGTTTCTGTTACTGACCAAAAAAAAACCACTGAAATTACTAGTTCTCTCTCTCTCCTTCCCTCCTTCCCTTCCAAGTCAAGGTCTCACTATGCAGTACAAGCTGCTTTTGAACTATGTAGCCCAGGCTGGCCTTGAACTGGAGGAGATCCTCCTGCCTCAGCCTCCTGCATGTTGGGGTTACAGGTGTGCACCATGCCTGGATGAAGTCATCACTTTTCTGTCCAGCCAAAACAGGAAGAATACAGCCAAGTGACTGATGATTGGATTACAGAGAAACAAAAAATTTTTATCTATGACGATGGGAAACACTCTTAATTGATAGGGAAATTCATCTTACTGGAAAAACTAGTATTTCTGGAAGGTTATCACTACAAAGACCTTCAACTCTTGCTAAATGCAGTGGCTATGAGGGTAGATGTGTAGCTGTACACTTGTGACAGGGAGACAGAAAAACAGACGAGACTAGGACAGGAGCCAAGATGGCTGCGCCCGCCGCTTTCTCCCACCTCAGCCCTGCTGCGGTGGAGACCTGGAGGTGCCTGGGACACACCCTGGAGATGAGCATGAAGGTGTGGCCGGTGGCCTTCTGGATCATGCACAGCACGTGTCAGAGTGGGAGGAGAGCTCAGCGTGTGCCGGCAGCCCTGTGACTCCCGAGAGGATGGCTCCACTAGGCTCTGAGAAAGACCTCGAATTTCACTGAATACAGACTCAGGACTTGCGTAAGACCCTTCGGGCCTTTCGAGCCCTCTAGAACAGTGCGACTGAAAAGAGCTATGGGAACGCTTCAGCCTTTTCTGCAGCTGTATTCACAGTAGTTCCACTCTTACGTTGATCTTGTTACTTCCCCTCTTGTGTACGTTGAGAGCCAAGGTTGTCAAGTGCTGCATGGATGACAGGGCGATGCAGACCTTTCAGTGCCTCTCCGGGTGATGGCCACACACGTTTTACTAGAAACATGCGCAAAAGAGTACACTTGGGGTCCACTCTGGCCATTTCCCTCTCCCACAGACTTGAGCCGGCCCCTTCCTCACTGCTCCCCAGTTATCTGGAAGCTTCCTCTCTGCTTCTGAGCTCGTCCTGTGTCGCTGCTTATTTCTGCATTACTGTGTCCTGTGCCAGTGAATGCTGCCAGTGAATGTTGTCCCTCCTGTGCCACCGAAGTGGATGACTTCCCACCACACCTGCGAGTGTGTCACGACTACACACACACAGCTGCGGAATCTGGACTCTGTAAGGACAGTACTGAGACAGCTTGTCAAGCGCCGTCTCCTTTAATCCACTCTTCCTCCCTTCCTCCCCTCCCCACCGGTCCCCCTGTATCAAACCCAGGTGGAGACTGCTTTGCGCTCGCCCTAAAACCAGAGGCAGGTCAGCCTGCAAGTGAGACCTGGGGGAATAATACCCCTTGTCACCAAGGCTGGCAGGCCACATTCCCCTTTATCAGCGAAACGGCTAAAAGGAAAAATGGTGATTCGGTTTTTCCCTTCCTGCTCATTTCTCAGTACAGAGCAGTTGGTAGAATTTAGGAGTGAAAAGATGAGGGGACCACTTTCCCAACACGTTCCACTCTGCCCGCAACGCAGCCTCAGTAATTTAGCTCAGCATCTGTAATCTAAAGCAGTTTTTTACATGCCTGCAGAAGGGTAGGTGACAGATTTTTCAACTGGTTTCCATGTGAAAAAGTGAAATTTGGAATGGAAATAAACGAACTCACTTGCCTCTAAAACACCTTTTATCACAAAGTATTTATTCAACAAAAATAATATTACAGTAAAAATGATACATATATGAAAGTGAATGAAAATCTGCAATAATAGAAAAGATGTATACAAACAGACCAACATTCAGGTTAGATAGTTCTAGCAAACCTTAGCCATATCGGTTTAGTACTGATGAAGAAAACCTTACAGAAGAAGAAGTTCATGTTTTTGGAACCTAAATACACACACACACACACACACACACACACACACACACACACACACACAAACGAGGCAGGGCTGCAAGAGTTACTCTTCAATATCTCCATTTTTGTTTGCATTACAGCAAATATTCTGATCCATTAAAAAAGTGATGCTTTTTCATTTCTAATAAACGGATCTACTATGTATGTTAAGCACAGTATTTGGGGGAAAGAATATCAGATTTGTAGTTATTTATGTGTTTCCAATCAACACTGACATTTTAAAACTATTGAAAATAATACTTCCCATTGAAATTTTCACACATTAACTTCCTTAAGTTCCTTTATAAGAATCTTGCATTTTGGATGTGTTCATGTGTTTCTTTACCTAACATAATTTTGGACCAGCAGTTACTTACAGCTAGGCTTCAGAGAAACAAGAAACATTAACACCTGCCATTGCACTGTCTTCGGTGAGCTGTGTGGCCCTGGGTAACTTCCAGCCACCTCTGGGTACCCAGAACCAGTTAGAGGGACCCTTTCTGAAGGGCCCTTCTAGCTCTAACATTTCCATTCTGTCATTACCAGCTCGTTTGTTTGAGTACAGAATTATCATTAATGATGAGTGAGGAACATAGTTGCTGTAGTTGTGGATTTTGGAACCAGTCCATTACTTCACAGTCAGCGGTTTTAAAGTAGTAAGGGCACGCATGTCCACATCCAGGGGTGTTCGATTCCGAAGGAAAATGTATAAGTATCAACATAATTTTTAGATTTGTTTTGAAAATTCAAGAAATTTGTTCTTATAATCCCTGCCTTTTAAATGCCTGTTTTTGTTCTTTTTGTTTTGGATCAATTACTTAGTCATACTTCAAAGTGGTTTCTGTGAGTTATCGTTAAGGATTATAGTTAACCTAGTTTTGAATTTAAAGCACCGGGCACTTTCTAGCTCTCTTATCTTGATTTTGGTCTTTCCTATTTCATGAATAGATAGCGCCTCTGAAGTGATGCCTACTGATTTTTTTGAAAGAACAGAAAATGTGTTTCTGTTATCACTGTTCTAAACTACACTACACAAAAGAACGGACTGCAGAAGGCTCCAGATTGTTACATAATCAGTTCAATTCCACCATGATGAGGTTCCTGAAGAATTTTCCTTTTACCAGATTTCCTTCATTCTCACCATAAATTTAGTAATACGTAAAACAGTGCATCCTGTTCCAAGCTCCACAGGCAGAGCCTCCAGTACCTCCAGTTCTGTATTTGTGACACAGTGCATTTTTTTGATCCATCAAAAATTGTGGAAGCCTAGATGTACAAAGACTCCTGGTATGCCAGAATTGCTTCTTCGTTGGAATTTATCACCAGCCTGAGCCTCTTCCAAAACACTACATTTTTTTGAAATGTTAATTAAAGTTCTAGGGATTTAGAGAAACTCTGACTTCCGCTGACTCAGTAAGTATCTGAATGTGATTCTCTATGGAAGATAGGGCAGTCTGGGCTGTTTTTAAAATATAAACATGCTAACCTAGGAAGTATTCTGGGGGTTTAGGTGGTTGGACTTCAGCTTTTAGTTAGACAAACAGTTAAAAAGCTACCCTTTCAAAGTTCATTTTTTGAAAATGTACTGTAGAACATTTTCACTTATGAGGGCTTATTGTCTAAATATGGCTTAGTTTATTTTTTATAAAAACATTATTTGGACATTACATTTACTGAATTTCATTTCAGAAGAGGTTCTAAGGCAATTCTACAGTTGAAAGCAAAAAAGAAAAAGTGATACATGTTTTCATATGTAGCCTACTTGTGAAAATAATGAAGTTCTACTAGAGATCTGTTCAATACTAATTTTTGTCTTTCAAACATTTTCTCTTAATACTAAAAAATATATAAATCATTTACATAAAAGTAAATGCAAAGGAAGGCACAGCTGGTTATAGTGTGTATATAAGCGCAGTTCAGCATAGGCAGAATTAAAGAAAAAAGCTTCACATCCTTATTAGTTATACTGAAAACATTAAGGAAAGTTCTTCACTGTCAACAGTGTTCCACATTTAAGAACTAAGAGGATATAAAAAAACATTAAAATTCACTTAATGTAAAACAGATTTTCATATATACTTGAATATATAAAAAAAACCAGTTTTTAAAATGCTAACACAAATCTAAACTATCCATGTTATGAAAAGTGCAAACCAAATGAATAGAGGGTTTCACAATGTCCTTCTCGTGACACAGGTAAACTAGCCCATGGGGACAGATTTGTTTCATCAGTAATGAGTCCTTCATGGCGGCCAGACGTCATCAGGACTTCTGAGAGCTTGACGAGAGCAGTACTGGAGAAGCAGCTCTGTCCAGACCCGGGATTGGCACTGGCATGTGGCCATTGAGCAGTGTGGGGAACTGTAGGGGACAAAAGAGTTTGAAGGGCGTTATTCTTTTTTTTGTTGTTTTTGTTTTTCTCCGGTACCGGGAACCGAACTCACGACCCTGCGCTTGCCAGGCAGGCGCTTTTGCCGCTGAGCTAAATCCCCAGCCCCGAAGGGCGTTATTCTAAATCCACCGGAAGAACTTGGGTTCCCCGTGTTCCTCGACGGCCCACAGTACTTGGCTCTCTCATCGCCTCCGTCGGGGAGGGCAGCTGCCAATCTGCTTTACAGAACAGCCGGAAGATGACCAGGGCAAACAACGGGGCAGCCCGGCAAAGTCTCTAGTTTTTCTATATTCGTAGGCTACCAGAAAAAAACACGAACGCATGCTCTAATACTGTTGTTAAACACTACAGGCTCTTTAGAATTCTGATTTGTTTGTTTTTTGGTTTTTCTCCGGTACCGGGAACCAAACTCACGACCTTGCGCTTGCCAGGCAGGCGCTTTGCCGCTGAGCTAAATCCCCAGCCCCCTAGAATTCTGATTTGCATTTAGAAAACAGCTTTGGAAAGCAGATTCTACACAAGTCACTAATTTGTAATTCCATATTCAGAAATTTGCCATCAGTTGTCCCAAGTCCTACAAAGGTGTCTCTCGATAACTATTAAAAACAGGGAATGTTTTTACCTGAAAACATTTTAAATGGAAAGAATATGGTTATTTTGGAGCTGAGGGAGTATTCTTTCTCTGATAAATAATACCAAACTTAATAGGCTACCCATCAGAGACACAGATTAAAATTAATGCCTCTGGAGTTGGCAGGTTTTGAGATGATAAAAGAGCAGGTCTAAAGGCATATGCTTTGCTAAGTTTCAGGTCTGAGGCATATGTGTCAGCCATACTCCCCACTGAGCAGGACTAATAAAGGCCTCCTTTTAACACATGACTGCTTGCAACTCGATGTTTTCCATCGGCTGGGATGATATGTGTCAAAATCTCCTAGGCTGTCTTCTAGCTTGGTTCCTATTTAGGCCAAGTCAGTTAAATATTAAACTTCAGCACTAAATGCCCAACTACCTAGCCTACCACAGGCTGGAAAGTACAACAAATACTTGTAAAACAAGTAAATACATTTTTGCAATTATCAAACTGTTTCAGTAACTTACATCTAGTGCTTTATTGTTTATCAAGGGTTATCTTGATATCTAGGAGCTGTGAAGTCAGTATTCTTATTCCCATTTTACAAAAAGAGCAAACGGTTCAAGTCAGTTCGGAACAGCCAAAGGTCACAGCCAGTAAGTAGCCAAGATGGGTTTGAATCTCCGATCGAAATCATCCTGTACTAAAGTGCCCAGGTTTCCTTCGTAGTTACTGGCACAGCCAAGGTCTCTTCCTTTCCTGGCACTTTGGAATTTTTATTTCTTGTGGAATTTTATCCACCCCAGCTACTTACATACAGCTGTCCCTGTGTGAGCCCGTGTCGGCTCCGAAGCACTTTTCCCCACTGACTGAGGGAGCGCGGGAAGAATTCAGCAGGTCTTGAATTTTCATTCTTTCAGGGTGTTTGAGCTTCCCCTTTCCTTGGCTTTCGCCCATCTTACTGGTGCTTTGAAGGCAGTCAGCTTTGCTTTGTTAGTCTTCGCCGCGTTTTAAAACATATCACTGGTTTCTGCCCTGGCTGTTTACGGGGGACACTCAGTTGTCACAGTCTGGCTTCCTGGTGTGTTTCTCAGTCATCTTTACTGTCTCCTCTCCCACAGCAGCCCTTAAACTGCATCACTCCCCCAACTTCTGTCCTCTCCCTTCTTGTCTCCCACGCCGTGTCTGGTCCTGAAAACCTTTTCATCGTCCGTGTCCCCCGCCAGTGCTTCTCCCCCACAAAACCCTCCTTCCCTGGTGCGTTCTCTAAGCCATGGCGGCGGTGGTTCGGAATACAACACTTGAATCGAGCCTCTGCCGCTCCCTGTGTGGTCTTGGGCCTGGGGCGGCATCTCTGTGCCTTAGTTCCCCGTCTTTACAGTAGAACTACTGGGAACCCTGGATGGGAAGCTGCAAGAAGTGGCGGAGACTCATCCGGCACACAGTGGGCCCTCAGTAAATGTTATGAAGAGCATTTCCCATCTTGAAGCACTTAGCCCTCTGAGCCACTTACCCGTGCATTTCTAATTTTCACTACTCCTCACTTCTGAAGCCAGACTCAAAGTCTTGCTCTTCACCTCACTTCTGAAATGTCTTCTGCGGAGGCTCCTGTGTCCTCTGTTCTCATCTGAAAATGACTGTCCCTGCAGTATTTGAAGTACAGTAATTGTCTGTCTCCCTGCTCTGCTTATTCATGTCTTCGCCCACATGGATAGCAGCGATGCTTCTCAAAAAGAGATCTCTTTTTATCTCTGGTATAAAAAGCTTTAAGGACCTTTAACAACGGATCAAAGCGGGAGTATCCCGAGCACACTCTCTAATGCCCGCAGCTACTTTTCCAACCTAATCTATCACCAGGTCCCTTCCTGAACAGATGTCCATATTGAAAGCATCCAGATCCGTTAAGAACTGAACTGTGCTGACCTGTTAACAAAGCCCCGTCCCTGCTCAGTGGCGCTTCTCCCTTGGAGCCTGGGTCCAGTCCCCAGCCAGTAAAAGCTACTCTGTCCTGGGATTCCTGCAGCCCTCTCTACTCTTCCGTTCGGGTACTGTATATCTGCTACTGTCCCTCCCGCGAAGCACTGCAGATATCTGCTGGGTTAGATCTGTTGAACTAAAGAACACTGAATTGAAAACTTCTCAAGTTGGAGTGGAACAGACATCCTGTAGATAAGCTAAAAATGCCAAACTATCCAGGTGAAACACTATTTCTAAATCCAGGTCGTATATTTATACTTGGTACAGTGTCTTTGGCACCACTGTCTTTACTGAGGCACTTCTTAGTTAGAAAGTATACCTCTTCCAGAAAGACTAGCGCCTTGTCTTCTCTCTTACAAAATCCTTAAACATCTGCTATAACCTACTGTAACAACTTTATCAGGGGATGTCCTGCACAGAAATTCCTTAGCTCTGTCCACTATCACCCAATGAATTATGTTCTGCCTTTCTAAAATCACAACAGGAAACTTGCCACCATAACTGAAAATTTGCTGTAGGCCAAGTCTACTTTTTTCCTTCCACCGACACATAGCGTATGTGACAGAGGTTTGTCATTTTGAAATAAAATTATTTTTATTATTTAAGAGGGACACAACAGTAACTTGAATTCAGAAAATCAATTATAATGTCTAGTCTTACAAATCAGAAAATCTTATTCCTCCCTTTTACCGTGTTTTGTTGTTTACCATTTTTAAAACTATTGCCTTCAACTTGTACCATGCTCATCGGCTCTTCCTCATAGGAAGAGTTAAAAGGTACAAAAGTGCCCTCCTTCATCTCATGGATCTAACCACAAAAAGGCCAAACCACCAGCCATCCAGACTGGGTCGTATTCCCCCAGCCCATGATATTTTCAGTGACCCCAGGAGAGACACCAGCTCTCTCTGGTGAAATTAAAATTAGAACTCTAAGCAGGTAGCTCCTACATGCAGGAACTTATCCTGCAGAATTCTCAATGTAAATTAGGAACTACTCACTGGTCTGCAGTGCCTCTAAAAGTACGGTTCCCAAACCAGGGGCATCACTAGGAGCTTGAAATTTTTTATCATACCCTACCTAAGACCTAAAGAACCAGAAAGTCTGGGGGTGGAGCCCAGCAATCTATTTTGCCACATCGCCCAGGTGATTCTGTTGCATGCTACCTTTGAGAACCGCTGGGAATACACACGGCCCAACTCTCAGTGATCCTGAAAAGGTACAGAATTACTGTGGCCATGAGCCACACTTACTGTTATCAAATACAGGACTAGAAAAGTTTAGTGTAATTCCAATAGCTCGCCATGGTTTTCTTAAAAGGTCACTAAGCTCTGTACCAATCCGGTGGCGGAATTCCCAATAAAGAGGGAGGTGAGAGGCGCTCAGTTTCACAGATAACCTATTACAGAAGCTCTGGGTTAGACTGTAGACTTGCACAGAATTGCAGTCCTATCCCAGGGAGTTTACTGTAGCCATACAATACCTTTCTGCTCTACTGACGACTAGAATATTGCTGCTCTAATGTTGAGACTTTCAAGAAATGAGGTCTTGTATCTCCTCTCCAAAGCGTTAGTATTCCTGCTCTAAAACTTTCCAGATACTACATTTGCTTGTTGCTTGTTGCATGCTACGTCTAGTTTGTGCCTCCCTGCTCAAGTTACAGTGGTTAAAAATCAACATGTTGGCTGTGGAGGACCACAGCTCAATTTCTTGTGACAGGAATGAGGACCAGGGAAAAGAACGAAGCCTGATTACTCCAGGGATAGAGTCACACCGCGACACCTTACCCCAGCCCTGCTAGGAAACCAGAGAAGCAAGATAGCAATCAACACCTCCTCAGTGCCGCCATTGTTCCAGTGAGACCCTAAATCCCAGCATGCTCCTGGTACAGAGGAGGTACTCAGCAGATACTCACCTTGGCAAGCAAAATGACCAGCTCAGAAGACAGAGACTTGTTCTTTTTAGCACTTACCTTTCGTTCACCTCATCACAAATTCTGTGAAATGCTTTCATTTTGCCTGGCACCAGTAATTCCTAACATCGTTTGTGTCCCAAGCAATGTGCTGGATGCAGGAAGACTCCACACTTCCGGTCTCTTAAGGAACCACAGTCTAGTGGAGTTTGCCAGATCCCCAGGCAGTCATAATGGAAAGTGCTAAATGCAAATAGGGAGGATTGTGGGAGAGCCCAAGAACCACAGCTAGCTTGAGGTGAGCCACACTAGGGGCCTGGAATGCAGGGGGAATGAGACAAGCAGAACTAGCTGGCGGTGGAGTTTGCTTCATTCCTGTCCTGCTTGGGTGGGTGAGCAGCAATCTTTGGGTCTCTCAGAAACTACGGATATCACATGATAGCAAGCAATGCTACCACAAGATCCAATGTATGAATGAATAATGAATGATGTGCTCATCTAATACAGAG